CTTTCTCGTGCAGTAATCCTGGCTGGCGCCTTCCCGCAGGGAGGGTGTGCGGTTCAGCCAGCGTGTTATGTGCATGCGCCGTGGAGTTTGTTTTGGTCTGGGCGGTGTTTCAGTGCTGGTGTTTTGTGCGCTTTTTGCTACAGAGCTTCGCCTCTCGTTCTTCTCCCTGGCTGCGGTATGTGCCCCTTCGCGCCGGGGGTGTCCTGGTTCCCAGTTGTGGGGAGGACACCGCGGTTTTCCCTGTGTCATGGGTGTGGACCACCTCCTTCGCCTCTCCCTGCTCTCCTGCGGGTCCGGCAGGGTCCGGCTCTGGCGTCTTCACCTGGCGGTGCTCCCAGGTTCTTCTGGGCATGGTTGAGTCGTGTCAAGTTCGTGCCCCCGTTCGCCAGGTGAGTTTCTGCGGTCTGGCGTCTTTTGGCCGGGCGCTGGATGCGGAGTTGTTTATATACCTGTCTTTATTTAGGTATATTTTTTTACGACTGAGACCGTTCGCACACCAGTGACTGTCCCTTTTTCAACCCTTCCTGTCCCCCTCATGTACATGTCCAACCCATGCTGGAGTCATTCAGGGGACCCTCCTTTTTTAATGTTGTGAGGTGTGGGGGTTGTAGGGTTGGTTCTGTACTCACCTGGTAAGGCTCCTGGCTGTGCTTGCAGGATTTGAGCTCTGGCTCTTGGGTCCCGCCTATCTGGTAGAACTTGCGGGATAGTACCAGTGGAGTGCAGTGGTGCTATTGGCACCTTTGGGGAACACTGTATTACCATCAGAGGTCTGTGCTTGTTACACGACCTACTTGCGAACATAAGCCTTCTTGCTGGTTCGTCCGTGGACTTCCAGGGCGCACTGGCCTGTTTTCGTATGGCAGTTCCGGCCCGTCCTGGTTGTGGGGGTATGTGGGCCGGTGGACTGCTCCTAGTAGCTGCCTGGTGGGCCATCCTCTGGCCGGTCTAGCCTGACCTTGGGCCGGGCTTCAGGTGTAAAAGAGCTCCCAGTACTTCATCCAGCAGGTATCGAGCGGGGTTTCTCCGCCGTCGGTTGCCTGGTGCAGGTTTCTGGGCCTGCAGGGTTTTGTCGTGTCTCCGTTGGCCATGTCTGGGGTCTGCTTGCTCCGTTCTCTGCCTTTGCAGAGGGGAGTTGCTATTTACGTGTTGCAGTGGTGCCTGTTGCTGCTGCTGCACGTGTGCATTGGTACCGTGTTTCACGGTGGCGTGTCCTTGTTCCTGTGTCCGATTGTGGAGTGGCACTTTGCTGCCGTTTTGTGCCTGGGGATTGCGTGGGGTTTTTGTCCCTGCCTGCTTGTCCACCCCTGGTTGTTCTCCTGGGGTTTTTTGTGCTTCTGCTCTTTCTTCCTGCCTCCTCTGCAGCAGGGATGTTCTGCGTGTGTTCTTAGGCGTTGGTCAGCCTGTGTCCTGTGATGTGCTTCTTTGTCTTGGTCTATTGCAGTTGTTCGTGCCCCTTGGTTCGGGTCCTGTTCTGGCGGTGACCCTTCCGCCTTCTTTGGTTTCCTAGCTTGCCCTGCCGTTTTTTTTTTTTTTTTTGGGGGGGGGAGTCTTGCGATGTCTCGCGTCGGACCCGTCGTTTCTGAACTCCTGGCGGGCTTGCATGCTTTGGGGAGTTTTTCTGTTCGGCAGACGTTCCATCTCCTTGTGCCGCCTGGGTTTCGGTGGTCGCGCCCGAGATCTTCTCGCGGCTCCGCCTTTTTCCTGGGCTCGGAGGGGCCTTGTCGGGGCTGCTTATGTTCTGCCTCGTGGTCTCGCCTCCGGTTGGTGGTCGGGTGGCTTCGTGGTAGGTGTCCCACCTGCGTGCTTCTCTTGGCGGCAGTATGGGGTATTTTGGCGGTCCTTCCTTTTCCTGTCCCTTCTTAGGTGGTTACTCTTGTTAGCTTGGTTTACTCTCGGCTTGGTTTTCTAGTGGGGGTTGGGGGCCGTCGTCTTGCCACATACTGTCGCCTCTTTTCGTGCGGCGCAGGCGGAGCCGCTTCAGCTTGCTTTCGGTCTTGGTGTTGCTTCTGCACCGTTAGTCAGCTGTCTTGTGCGTCGTTTCACCTCCGGCCTGTTCGTGCGCTGCTTGCACCATCCTGGTCTCTGGTCAGCGTGCTCTGTCTTCTCCTCGGTTGGTAGTGCCCCTTCGGTTCCAGTGTGTTTTTTCGTCGGCTCTTTCCTTTGGGCCTTTGCCTCTGGGGGTCGAGTCGCTGAGTTTTCTTGCTCCTTCGGTTTTAGCGTTTTGGTTGTTTGGTGGCAGCAGTCTCCATCTTTTCTGGCGCGGGGTGGGGCTGCTGCATTCTGGAGGGGTCCAGGGTTTGTTGGTGCTACGTTGGTCGGGCCGGGGGTGTGTCGTTTTTTGTGTTCAGTGGCGGCCCTCCGCTGTTGTTTGCGTGCCACGGCGTTTGGGTCCGGAGCGCGTTTTACGTTGATCCGGTTCTGTTCTTCCCGGTTCGCGGGTGATAGTGTCCCGGGTGGTCAGCCGTGTTCTTGCGGCTAAGCTGCCTGTGTTCTTCCCTCATGCCTGTGGCGTTCATGGCTTCGCTGCTCTCACTGCCGTCTGGGCGACGTGGCCTTGCGGTCTTTCGGGCATGGATTTTTGGTGTTCGTGCAGGGGCCTTGCTGCTCGTGGTTCTCGTGTTGTTCCCGGGATTTTCAGGGCTGTGGCGCCTTGGGTTGGCGTTTGCTGCCGGTTGTCTCGCCTCCTTGGGAGGTGCGTGGTGTCCGCCTCCCGGTTCTGTCCCTTTGACCTTCCTCTGTGGGTAGTTAGCTCCGGGGAGCCGACGGGGCTCCCCCCAAAAAACCAGCGTTGAATGTAATGAAACGCCATTTTCTGGGTGAGACCCGGAGACTCCCCGGCAACCCTCCCTCCCTCCAGTCGGCGTTTTTCGCGTGTTTTGACATCCAGCCTCAGAACTGATGGGTGGATAGTCGGCGTGGAATTTCTGGGGGTCCCCCTTCCCCCTCCCGGGGAGGGGGGAGCTGCGCAGACAGCGGCGCGGTGACGTATGACGTCCTACTAGTTTCCTTGTTTTCTGTTGAAGAGTTCTATCCACTAGTTCGGCTTAGGTAGCAATTTTCACCAGAATAGGGGTTTGTTTTGGAATACTTACCTTTCTGGATGCTTGACCCGGTCGATGGCAGACATAGAATGCTTCCAACCACACCGGGGTTTCTATAGGCCATTGCTCCCCTTGCCTCTCTGAGGGGGCCAGGTTCTGGCTCGTGGTCCCCGGTAGGCCCTAGAACTCCATACACATGACTGATGCCAAAGTCTGACATTAGCATATCAGCCGGTAAAGCTCTGGGGAGCCTCCGGGTCTCACCCAGAAAATGGCGTTTCATTACATTCAACGCTGGGTTTTTTCTTCTATCTTCTAGTTTTGGAATATTTAATGCCTCTAACCTCTCCTCGTAGCTCTTGTCCTTCAATTCTGGTAGTTATTTTGTTGCATGTCTGCACCTTTTCCAGTTTGTTGATGTGCTGCTCAAGATATGGGCACCGTACAACCGCTGCATACTGTGTTCCAGTTTAAGCCTAACAAAAGTCGTGAACAATTTCTTTAGTATTTCGCCATCCATGTATTAGAAAGAAATTCTGAAGTTTGAAAGTGTAGCATAGGCTCCTCACACGATGTTCTTTATGTGGTCCTCAGGTGATTATTTTCTATCTAGAATTACCCCTTGATCTCTTTCTTTATCAGAATTCTATAAAGATTTCTCACATACTATATAGGTTTTGTTCTCCTATCTCACATTCCATAACATGGCATTTATTCACATTAAATTCCATTTACCAAGTGGTGCTTCATACACTTATTATGTCTAGATCCTCTTGAAGGGCATGACAATAATCTAAGTGTCTTATCTACCCTATTCTCTTAGCATCATCATCAAATATGTTCATATAATTCTGTATTCCATCTGGTAGATCGTTTATGTAGATAATGAACATTACCGGTGCAAGAACTGAACCCTGTGGTACCCCATTCGTGACAGTTCTCCAGTCCAATACATTGCCTTTGATTACTGCTCTCATTTTTCTGTCAGAAAATTTGCCATCTATGTTAGAAGCCAACCTGTCACTCCTCCAATTCACCTATGTTTCAGTTTCCAGAACAACCTCTTATGTGGAACTCTGTCAAAAGCCCTTTTAAGGTCCAGATAGATGCAGTCAACCCGACTATCTCTCCTGTAAAATCTCAGTGGCTCGATCATAATGTGTGCATCTGCTCCAGAACTGATGGCTTTACCAGTGAACAGCGCAAGCCCAGTTCTTCTCCTTCCCCAAACTAGTGGGAGAGGTGAGGTGAATGAGCAAATGCATGTTTTGAGAGGTTTAATAGTTTATTTACAATGTTGGAGTGGTTTTGAGGCTTTGGTCTCTCCGAGCCCTGCAGTGGTCTGCATTCGGTCACTGGCATTTTGGATGTTTTTTGTCTTCTTCTTCTTGATGGTACATGCAGTCTGCATGAAGGGTTTATCCTCCCAATGTTGCTGGTGAGGTGGGAGCCAGGTTCTTGCTCTGATTATTAGAAGGCTAAACAGAACTCCACTGCTGATGCAATCTAGTGGTTTGGAGCCATCTCAACAAGATAACTTTAGCCAGCATTCACAACGTAGCAATTAATGGTCTTGGGTGCCTCTTCAAAATACACCATGAAATACTGTAGTTTGTTTCACCAAAAAGTTAATAGTCACATCTTTATCTGTTCAGTATCATTAAATTTAGGGATATTTGGCACATTTGTTGCCACTAACCCACTTATTGTAATGTTATTTGCAGTGGCATTGCTTTGGGTCACAAAATCCCATCTTGGTGATTTGAACAGCTCTCCAAATTGTTCTAGGACTATTGGAGCAGTTCAAGTGTTAACATTTTCTACTGTAAAGTCCACCATAATTCTGATATTTTAATTCTAGTAAGATCTTTTATATATTTAACTTACATAAATATTGTGTTCCAGAATCAGTAGAACTGAGTATACAGTAGCACTGAGACGTATTTACATTTTCAGCAGGGAGAAGATGACTCTGAAAGTGAGCGTGGCTGGCTGGCACAAGAAGAAGATAGAATTTTACGTTTAAGAGAAGCAACTCAACAACTACAGAATGAAGTAGAACGCAGGGAAGAAGCTGTTAAACAGAGAGAACGTATGCAGAAAGAAAAGCTACGTCTGCAGTCTTCAAGGCCAAGTCGCCAAGTAAGTTTGCAGTAAATTGTGTTATATCATTTGGGAAAAATGTAACTTTAGGGTTAGTGACTGGCGCTCAAACCAATAACCTTGGAACCGAGAGTGATTAAAAAAGTGGTTGTGAACAGATCAAGGGTCAAAACCTCCTATCCTCCAAAAATATTTGAGTAAAGTATGAAAATACAGTACATTATACACAAATACAAACAAAATTATGATATTCACCAAGATTTGCTGTGTGGTTCCATGTGCAATTTTGGAATGATGTCAAGGTAATAATGTTAGTGTTAATATGTTGTGCTGAACTCTGCTAATTTGAGTCTTGTATGAAGGAGTTATCCTGAGATGCTTATTGTTCTGGGCAACTTGAAGCTGGAACATCTGATGGTACCACAGAGCTGATGGCTGAGCGGACAGAACACTGAACGCGTGATCCTGTGGTCCCAGGTTTGATCACGGGCGCCGGCGAGAAACAATGGACAGTTTATTTCACAATGATGGCTTGTTACCTAGCAGTAAATAGGTACCTGGGAGTTAGTCAGCTGCCAGGGGTTGCTTCCTGGGGGTGGGGGGGAGAAGCCTGGTCGAGGACCGGGCCGCGGGGACACTAAGCCCCGAAATCATCTCAAGATAACCTCAAAATAACCACAGTACATCTGATGGTACCATCTTGAGGTTATCTTGAGATGATTTCGGGGCTTTAGTGTCCCCGCGGCCCGGTCCTCGACCAGGCCTCCACCCCCAGGAAGCAGCTGACTAACACCCAGGTACCTATTTTACTGCTAGGTAACAGGGGCATAGGGTGAAAGAAACTCTGCCCATTGTTTCTCACCGGCGCCTGGGATCGAACCCAGGACCACAGGATCACAAGTCCAGCGTGCTGTCCGCTCGGCTCCCTATAGTATCATAGCTGTACCATAGTACAGCTGATGGTACCATAGTATATCTGATGGTACCATATTATAGCTGATGGAACCACAGTACAGCTGATGATACCATAGTACAGCTGATGGTACCACAGTACAGTTGATTATAAAATAGTATAGCTGATGGTACCATAGTATATCTGATGGTACCATATTATAGCTGATGGAACCACAGTACAGCTGATGATACCATAGTACAGCTGTTGGTACCATAGTACAGCTGATGATACCATAGTATAGCTGATGGTACCACAGTACAGCTGATGGTACCATAATACAGCTGATGGTACCATAGTACAGCTGATGGTACCATAGTACAGCTGATGGTACCAGAGTACAGCTGATGGTACCATAATACAGCTGATGGTACCAGAGTACAGCTGATGGTACCAGAGTACAGCTGATGGTACCAGAGTACAGCTGATGGTACCAGAGTACAGCTGATGGTACCAGAGTTCAGCTCATGGTACCACAGTACATGTGGGAACCGACCTGAGAGATTTATATTTATTTAATTTATATGAATTTATATAGAATTTATATTTACGTTAATTTATATATTTCGATAGTAATTTGTATTATGTTAAGTGGACTGTATTTCTGCAATAATCTCACAAATCGATCCATACACATTAGGGGGGTTTTACATTATATTTGTATATATGCAGCCAATCAAACTACAGTATTAACTTCATATATTAGTATACATTGAGGAGGTTCCTTATCTTATTATACAGCAGGCTTAGTCACCAGGTATAACTAGGATGTATACACCAAATTATCCTCGTGAGGCAGCTTCCATCACCCAGTAACTGATATACCAGCTTGCTTCCTCCTCTTGTTCCTGTCAAAGGGCGCTAGCTGTAAAGCCAGAATCCTAATATATGACAGCTATATCAGAGAAAACACTGTATAATGAATCATAAAGACCAAGGCTTAATTACCTTTTCTGGGGGGAGCCCCGTCAGCTCCCCGGAGCTTTACCGGCTGATATGCTAATGTCAGACTTTGGCATCAGTCATGTGTATGGAGTTCTAGGGCCTACCGGGGACCACGGCCAGAACCTGGCCCCCTCAGAGAGGCAAGGGGAGCAATGGCCTATAGAAACCCCCGTGTGGTTGGAAGCATTCTATGTCTGCCATCGACCGGGTCAAGCATCCAGAAAGGTAAGCATTCCAAAACAAACCCTTATTCTGGTGAAAATTGCTACCTAAAGCCGAACTAGTGGATAGAACTCTTCAACAGAAAACAAGGAAACTAGTGATGACGTCATACGTCACCGCGCCGCTCTCTGCGCAGCTCCCCCCTCCCCGGGAGGGGAAGGGGGAGCCCCAGACCTCCCACGCCGGCTACCCACCCATAAGTTCTTCGGCTGATGCTATAGACAACGGTTATGTGCTCCGGCTCCAGTGGTTGTTTCAGCACTGTACCTAGAGTGTGGTGTCTGTTTTCTAGGTGGTGCGTGAGCCGGGAGTGATTCTCCAGTACTCGGGCTGCATGCGCCTAGGGTTCCCTTCCCTAGGTGCCCTGTAAGTACTGCCCTTGGGGCTTGGAGTCACCTTCCACAAGTTCCTTGGGTCCTGCTCCTGCTTGGCCGTTTACTGCTTGGTTTTCGGCCGCTCTTTGTGTGCTCGGGTGTTCTGTCTCCCTTGTTCGCCTTAGAGTAAGGGGCAGTTTTTGCACTGGTGGGGCGCAGGGTACTGTGCAGCTTGTCTTTACCAATCATAGCGGCCGGCTCTGTTCCGCTTGGGTACGCTGTCCTCTTGCGGGGTTTTCTTTTTCTTTTTGTTTATCTACCTGGTGGGGGTCTGCCTTCGTTCTTGCCCCTTGTGTCCCTTGTGTTCTGAGTATTTTCTGGTGGTACCCCCTGCTAGGTCCCCGTGAGTGTACACGTCCCGGAGGTTCAGCTCTTAGAAAGTTGTTTGGTAGCTTTGGGTGCCGGTTAGCAGTACCCTGCCTGGGATTACCTAAGCGCGAGTCCTCTTATAGTAAACGCTCAGGACCCTGGGAAACCCCTGGGGGCGCGCGGGTTCGATGGATGTGACCCCAGAGTCCCCCCCTCGCTTCCAGCGAGTTTGAGGGTTGCTCTCACCCTTTGTCTCTGGGTGACTCTCTGTTTTGCCTCCGTCTGCTGCCTGTGGGGTCGGTGACACCTTCAACCCGGAGTCCTGCGAGTTTGGTTGCTCGTTGTGGCTCGGTTACCCAGTTGTGCTAAAGCGGGTGCAGGCAGCAGGGGCGTTGCACTTGAGGGTGGTGGCAACGTTCTCGTGGTTTCCTCCCCGGGAGCCCCGGGGCTGCCCCGTTGTAGTTCGTTTTGGGACTTGGGGTGTTGGTTGCTTCGGTTCCATCCACGCCCCCTTGTCTTTCCCCTGGATCACCCTTCCTGCCTGCATCCGGTTCCTTACCGTCTGTAGGTTCGGGGCGGGGTTTTTGATGGTGTTGAGACTGGCAGTCTCGGGAAATTCCCCTTCCGGGGTAGTGACGGGGGCATTTGAGCCTGTTCCTCCAGCCGTGTTGTATGAGTCTGCCAGTGGGCTCCCTTCCTTAGTGTTTTCACGGCTGCCCCGGTTTTCTGGTACGGCCGGGGCTTTGGGGGAACGGCTCGGCCCCGGGGCCTGTCGTGTAGGTTCCCGGGGCTGGGGAGGGGCTGACTTGGGGGGCCTTGGCCCCGTTGGACCCCGTGGGAGTTTTTATCCCCCTCTAGGCGGGGCTTGTGGTTACGCGGAGTGGGGTCTTTCCTCCCCACTCGCCGTACGTGCTGTTGGGCGTCGGCCCCTCCCCGGGCTCGGTTCCTTGGCCTTTGAGTCGGTTGGTTCCGTCCTGTGGGTGGATGTTTCCTCCCACCCCTTTTTGGGACGGTGTTTTCGTCATGTTCCCCGTTTGATGGGGTTCTGCGTGACTTCTGATCTCGGGTTCGCCTGCGCCTTCGTGTGCCTTCAGGACTAGTGTTGGCTTCTGTGTTCTCAAGGGTACGGTAAGGTTTTTCGCTACTTCCCGCATTATTGGAACGTCTGTCGGCTCCTCATCCTTGTCGCCATGTTGGGCTCCTTGTCGCCCTGTTTGGGCTCCTTGTCGCCCTGTTTGGGCTCCTTGTCGCCCTGTTTGGGCTCCTTGTCGCCCTGTTTGGGCTCCTTGTCGCCCTGTTTGGGCTCCTTGTCGCCCTGTTTGGGCTCCTTGTCGCCCTGTTTGGGCTTGTCGCCCTGTTTGGGCTCCTTGTCGCCCTGTTTGGGCTCCTTGTCGCCCTGTTTGGGCTCCTTGTCGCCCTGTTTGGGCTCCTTGTCGCCCTGTTTGGGCTCCTTGTCGCCCTGTTTGGGCTCCTTGTCGCCCTGTTTGGGCTCCTTGTCGCCCTGTTTGGGCTCCTTGTCGCCCTGTTTGGGCTCCTTGTCGCCCTGTTTGGGCTCCTTGTCGCCCTGTTTGGGCTCCTTGTCGCCCTGTTTGGGCTCCTTGTCGCCCTGTTTGGGCTCCTTGTCGCCCTGTTTGGGCTCCTTGTCGCCCTGTTTGGGCTCCTTGTCGCCCTGTTTGGGCTCCTTGTCGCCCTGTTTGGGCTCCTTGTCGCCCTGTTTGGGCTCCTTGTCGCCCTGTTTGGGCTCCTTGTCGCCCTGTTTGGGCTCCTTGTCGCCCTGTTTGGGCTCCTTGTCGCCCTGTTTGGGCTCCTTGTCGCCCTGTTTGGGCTCCTTGTCGCCCTGTTTGGGCTCCTTGTCGCCCTGTTTGGGCTCCTTGTCGCCCTGTTTGGGCTACTTGTCGCCCTGTTTGGGCTACTTGTCGCCCGGTTGGGCTACTTGTCATCCGGTTGGGCTACTTGTCGCCCGATTGGGTTCCTTTCTGGGGGGAGCCCCGTCGGCTCCCCGGAGCTATCCCAGGCTGATATGCTAATGTCAGACTTTGGCATCAGTCATGTGTATGGAGTTCTTAGGCCTACCGGGGACCACGGCCAGAACCGGGCCCCCTCAGAGAGGCAAGGGGAGCAATGGCCTATAGAAGCCCCCGTGTAGTTGGAAGCATTCTATGTCTGCCATCGACCGGAACAGGCACCCAGAAAGGTAAGCGCCCCAAAACAAACCCCTATTCTGGTTAAAATTGCTA